ACTTTCACTTCCCCTTTGTCTGGAAATAGTTATTTCTTCTAAGAAAAGGATGGTAAGTGAAAGTTGTGTGATGCGCGCACCGAGCCATATTTTTTATTCTTTCATCTGATCTGTAAAATCCCATTATTAGATTGCCACGAATTACGCTCATTTAATTTTTGTTATTATAAACATATTTTGGTTCCCATTGGAATTTCCCTTTTACGTTTCGCTTCTTATCACTAAAGAAATGATGCAACCAATATTTTGGAATAATGCGAGGGGAATGGAAGAGATAGACAAAAATTCTTTTATGTTGTTTGTCTAGATGAGTTCTATGAAGAGCACGTGGAAAAAAAGTTTTCGGTTCCAACAGAATAAAATTATGGTCGAAAGAGAAGATTGTTTGTTTTTGTCTATTCAAACTTAACAGCTTTAATGGAAACAGGTTAGTGATGGGGAAAGAGGAAATTAGCTAGCAGAGCTCATAACTGTGACAAGACAGGAACTGAAGTCTACAGAGCGAGAAGGTGAACGGATAACGACCTTAGAAATTTCCTACTTCTGTTTTGACTGTTTGTTTAGAGGATCTGACAACTACATGTGTCAACACTGTCAGCATTTTGCGACTGTGAGACCGTTTCTATATTTTGAAGCGAAACTTACATTGTTCGGTGAAGGGCTAAACTGATCATTCTCAATATCAAACCAGAATAGTTCACTTTTTAGGATTTTTTTATTTTATTTGTTTTATGAATAATTGGTTCTATTTTGTGAATCCGGTGACACAACGATAGTTTCCTTTGAATATCACACAATCATTAATCTGTACTGTACCTCGCTGTACATTGATATCTGTAATCTGTACACTGATCAGGATTGACTTCATTTTGATATCTGTTCTGACACTGCGCCACTCATCGTCTATTGTCTTGATTATAATTATAGGTATAGGCTTCATCACTAAATGAAGTAGGGACGTGCGTTTGACGCCTACAAATGCATTCTGCTACATCGACAGTTGCTTCATCAGCATCTTTATTTTCGTGCAATCCGCAAACATATTGCTGTTTTCTTTGTCGAACCTCTTGGATCCAGCTGATGGTAATGCTATGGCACTTCTGAAGCATGAACGTGTTTTAAATGTCTTGTACCCGATACTTCAACGTTCAATTTATTGGTAACTGGGTTCTTACTATCTAAAGACTGCTCTGCTGATCTATTCGTATATCTTTAATAAATCGATATACTCCTAATTGAAACAAACTTTATTAATTTGCTAGTTTTGTAATTAAAGTTTTACAATACCTTTTCTATGATTTTATAACTGAGTAATAAGGGTAATTATATTTAATTTATCAATGGAAAAGTAATGCAAGTTTTCGCCTTTCCTAGATTTTAAAGCTATTAGTATACACAAATACTTACTATTAATACTTTGTATATCACAATAAATGTTCCATTTTTTATCTCCCACTCAAAATTCTATCAATTTTTTTTTCTTAGGCCGTTTATAGCCTTTGAAAATAAAATTTCGAATAAGAATTTCATCAAATTTATTTTTACGAATGTAGATTAGAGCGTAGAACTACGCAAATTAATCGTAAAGTCAATGAAGTGTTGGGACAGAGGTGCCCAGAAGGCACGTTGCATCATCAAACTTTTTGAGGTGGCCACATTTTGACGAGGTTTTGAATTTTTTAGGGGGGCGCATATGGTGTTATGAATTTACGTATTGAAAAGTTTCAAACCAGGAGACAAGAGAAAAGCATAGTACAAACCTCAGAAAGTGCAATTGTATATGACCTATGATTTTTAATATTTTACTTTACCTTGCACCGTTTTTAAGAAGAGAAGAGAAATAAAATATCTTATGAGGAGGGGCAAGGGTCATATGCCATCGGCCTTCGAGGAGTATGGGCACCCATGAGGGGGGAGGCAAATTTTGACGGTGTGAGTTTTCGGAGTGTAAGGTTTCAAAATAGAGATCTAGGGGAAAACGTGGGACAGACGCAGCAAGTGTAATTGTTTATTATCTACGATTTTCCCAATTCTACTTTCGCTTGTACTGTTTTTAAGAAGAGGAGAGTAATAAATAAATTTTTTGGAGAAGATGAGGGGATTCATGCGCCGTCGACCTTGGGGGGATGGGCACCCCTGGGTTGGGGGGACCATAAATGACTGCACAGAACAGTGTTGGTTTGTCAAGTTTCGAGTTGAAAGACGAGGCGACAGTGTGTAGATCCAGTGTCAATATTATTCACTTCAGCTTTCTTAATCATTGGACACTATCAGTTGTTATAATTACTATCAAGAAATTGATGTGATGTTGATATAAGTATAATGATGTAAACTGCTAGGCCATTGATTAATCGGAAGGGATCTGACTTTCTCAATTATGAATATAAGGCGACGGCACGAGTTGTGTTAAGAAAGCCTTCAATATCTAGCCTTATCGCCTGACTTCTTCCTTAGCAATTTCCACTTTTCCGATCACTTGAAGTTGTTTATAAAAAGTTGTTACGATAGAAAAACTTTCAAAACCTGGTTGCTCTTGAAAATGCTTTTCGGGAGTTCATTTTTTCCATGAATCTAAATTGCTTTCCATCTCGGTCTCAAACTTGTTGAACATTAACAAAATAATATTGATTCTGATTATTTTGACTTTCAATTAATATGCAAAATCTACATTATTTTAGTATTAACTAAATATTATATTTGTATTATGTTAAATTCTTTAAAAATGATTCAAATATTAGTTTCCAATTAATGCGTTATAGTTGTTAACTAAAATATTTGACTATCTGCATGAAACCTGCATGAAAACCTTTTAATTCCACAATTTTACATAATTACTTCGTTGCTTTTTAGCATTCAATTAGCTAATGAAACTAACTCGTTAGGTAGCTCATTTTATGTCGTGCTTCCTAAAAATTAATGTTCATTATTATTTGTCACGAGTTTTAACATTGTGCAATAGTTGATTCTACGATTTCAAGAAATAATTATAGTGAATCCGAAGCGAATGTATCAAATCCTTATGTTATCATATTTATTTTCTCACCAACGTTTATTGGAGAGACGGAGGGGAGGAGGAATTACTGAAAGGAAAATTCTAGTAGTAGAAAAGAGTTTACTGAGGAGAGTAGATGGCGTCAGCGCCCTTAATACTATTTGATTATTATACACTCCTCAAAAAAGTTAAAGGATCAAAGATCTATTTAGTGATTATTCTTTAACAGTTTGGCAGATTAAAAAAAAGAATTATTGAAAAATGTTATTATTAAATTCAAATTTTACAAAGTAAACATTTATACTATGGAAAGCTACAAAATGATTTTTATAAACACTACATCAAGTGAAGGAGATAAAGATAACAAACATAAAAAATTATTACAGATGAAAATTCAATTTTTTTACTTATCCATTTAATTTAGATATGTCGATCATTACTATCGAGAAATAATTTCGTTTGCCTGTAATATAGCATCACAACGACGTACATGCTCTGCGTATGATTTTGTGATCTGGGAAATTTTTTGCTACTCTTTGTATAATACCGCTTCTGAGATCCTGATATTCTGCAACTGGTTCAATAGGTCTTTATAACACAGCGTCCGAGGTAGCTCAATCGGATTGAGGTCGGAACTAAGTGGTGGCCATGGTATTGTCTCAATTTTATTGTTTTCTGAAAACTTCATGGCAATCCTGGCTGTATGAGCACGGGCTCCATTTTGGATTAGGATAAAACTCTCACCCCAACTTCAGCTGCAGCTGCTAGAAGAGCAAGTTGAGTTCTTAATGCCTCATTTATGTAACGCTGAGCGTTACATAGCGACATCGATCAACTTCCGCGGGCCGCATTGTGACCTCCACCTAAGTCCCGCGGGCCATGGCTCCTGATGGAAAAAAATCTTGTTCTATAAATGACACTTCAGCTGTGAAATGAGCTTCCCAAGGAGTTATTTAATGTTGTAGTAACTTCGTGTGTGATTAATTTGCTAAATTTCATATTTTTAAATAGTTTTTCAAATTTTACCGTGTAATGAAAGAACCTTTAGCGGGTCATAGTTTAGAGACCCCCACAGGCGGACCTACGGAAGGAGTAGGAGAATTCGAGCTGAAGTCCACCATCCAAATGGTAAAATATAACCATGTTTTATGAAAAAAAATATATTAGTCCAAATTAATTATCATAATATATATATAAAATCTTTCGGGCTGAAACTCACCCTCCCCAAAATTAAAATCTGAATCCGTTAGTTGAGACCCCTACAATATAGGATCCATTAATGTTCAAATTAAAATGATAATGTAATTCCTTAAACATCAACTTTGCATACTATAAAAGATCGAACTAATTAATTTTAATTGTATTAATAGTTAAATATTTAAACCGTTAAATTGTTGACCAGGACATCGGTCCATTTCTAATAAATGCATATTAAATATTATTTTTGATGTTCTTATATAACATATTTTTTAGTTTATTTATATGGTAATTTATTACCGAAGAACTTTTCCCACACTTTAATGATACTATCCTGATAACAAAGATAAGGGAAAAACCTGCATATAACCTCATTCGGGCTCAGGTTCCCGCTGTCAAATACTGATGTTTTTGCCGAACTGATTTAGCGATCTAAGTTGTCATGGTTAAAGGAGTCTTTGCAATACATAATTAACTTTATAGATCTCAGATATCATAGTCTCTATTCGAATACTTAATCATGGACTATCACATTTTAAGGAATGTTCGGCAGTGCTTTGAATGTTTGCCCTGGTGTAAATCAGGTGAATTGTTCAACAGATGTTTATCCTATAATTTTGATTAAATTATTAGATAACTTGTTACATTTATAAATCATTTTATATTAGAAATATTCAGTTCTGTAATCAGTACTTAATCAGATTAGACATGGTTAAGGGTTATATAAAATGAAAGGAACTAAATGATTTTAATCCTGAATTTGTACTTTTATTATTTATTTTTGAATTATGTGGGTTTATTTTTGTTTTAGTTGATGGAGATCGTGGGAATCTAGTTGAAAATGGTGGTGATTCTGTGGATTGTGTGACTGGTAACACAGATTACAGGATCGTTTTTGTAAATAGACCGCAACCAAGTCGATTTCTCACAAATCGTATCACTACTGCCAAGTATACACCACTTACATTTTTACCTTCTTTCCTCTATGAACAGTTTCGCCGCTATTCCAACTGTTTCTTCCTTTTAATCGCTCTCTTACAGGTGAGGTTCTCAATCTCTCTTACATTCTTGATTTCCTATATTAATTATTTTGCATTTTTTATATTTCTTATTAAGCATCAAAGAACATTCACCTGGTAGTGACTGAATTGATATGGAATGATTTATGAGAGTATAATTTTTATTTTTTTTACATTTCTTGTTTAAAGCTTATATTAGTGTACATAGCAATACTCCTCAAGTTTAATTTTTTGTTTTTTTCTTTGTACACGTTGCTAGTTTATCTTTTTCATTGGTTATTTTATTTAATCTCAAACACAGACAAATTTACAAGACTTCGTTATTTCGACTCGATAGGCCCTAAAATTCAGATTTCTGTTGAAAATCAAAATTTTGCATAACATTATTCTCCTCTACTACATCATTCATTTGCTGCAACATTATAACTTTGAAATCATGATTTATTAGTTAATACCACAGGTATGATTGCAATGGTGTGTACTTTTAGCTACTTGTGCCATTTCTTTGTTTCCAACGCCAATGCTATTTAATTATTGTTTGTCTAAAATAATTACAGAATTTAAAACTTCTAATGCATCTCCTGAAAAATTGTGAATTTTGAGGTATGACGTGGTTGCAGAAAATATTTTTATTTAAGTAAAATAAAATTGAAAATTGATTAAAAACATTATCAACATTTAAATAGTATAAATACTATTGTGAATCGTATGGGATACTATTGTGAGAACTCTTTTATTGGATATTTATTTTTCTTCTTCCAAATTTACAATTTAAAGTATTAGCCGTTTTAGAAAAATATGATTAATCTTATAAATGTTATATTATCATTGAGAAAGTCCACTATTGACTACACACAATTCTTGAAGTTACTTTATAATGTCTATATTGAATTAACACCTCAATCTTATCAATATTACTAATTAGCTTGCTCCACCAAATTGATCGATCCTTTATCCATGGACTTATACTAATACAGTATTGTACTTCTTGAAACCTAGATATATGGTTGGCTTAAAACAGTAGAATCCTTGGTTTTAGCTAACCTAACGTATTAAGGTTATTGTACAGAAGCCGTGGACTGTGAATTAATCCAAGACAAAAGACATACGAATGAATGAGCGATACGCCTTTACAATATTAACACGATATCAATTCTGTCCTCTACAGACCTTGGCTAACCAATGTCTACATAGAATACTGATGATTTGGTGGCCAGAACTTGTACTGAATGAAGAACTATGGAAAGCTGCCAATCAGCTCCCAATCTATTCGAAAATAAGAAATTGAAAGTAGAAATGGGTAGAGCACACTCAGATGAAAACAGATAATGCTATAGAAAAAACTGCCCTTGAATGTAACCAATAGAAGTCCGCAGAGAAAGAATTAGTCGGGTCAGCAAGTCATGGAAAGATGTGATTTCCATTCAATTACTGGTGATCGGAATGAATGGTAAATATTCAATGCCTTATACTCCAGCAGGAGTCAGCAAAATCAATAAAATAATAGTAACCAGATATGGATAAGAACTTCTTCACTATTGTGGCTTTATTAATAACCAAGAAAATTAAAATGTGTTTAATTTTATTAATCACAAATCCAAAATTTTCTACCAAAAATATCTGTGATCCTTACCAAAAATCCTTATTGTCTAGAGGTTGGGTAGTAGATTTTCTTTTTATATTATTAGAGTTGCCTAAGAGATCTGAAAGCTATTCTCTCGTTTACCTTTCCATTTGATTTTTATTAATTTATAATTAATTATGTTTCAGCAAATCCCCGATGTTTCTCCCACAGGACGATTTACTACTTTGGTCCCTCTTATCTTCATTCTCCTTGTCTCAGCCATTAAAGAGATCATTGAAGATTATGTAAGTAAATTTATTGTCTTTGCATATTTATATTTTGACTATGTAGTATGTAGGTATATATTTTATATTCAGTGAGTAATGAGCTCCTAGTCTTGGATAAAATCCGGCTAATTAATATTTATAATTATTTGTTCTGTGACATTGTCCATGGATTGACCATGTAGCCAGGAGTAAGAATTCGCAAAGAATATTGGTCAGCCTCCAACATACAAGTGAATTGTTAACTTGCCAACATTTCCCCAATTCAGGCATCATCAGGGCAGAATAAACAAAATCATATATATGCAGAATGAAAAAACAAAAAGGAAAGAAAAAAAATTATTACAATTTACTTTTCACGAAACCACCCAAATTCATACTCAATATTATATTTTACTTTAGTCAAAGCATTTAAAATGAAGGCGAAATCATTATTCATATTTCAGTGCTGCTTGGCTTTAATTAAAGTAAAATATTTCATTCATTTTTTTCAATAACATATAAGTCAAAATAAAATTGAAGCACTCAATGATTGTTTGATTGTCATTGTAAAGTATACAAGGTTGAATCATTCTCGATGGACTATTGTTATTGAATGGAACTTAAACAGAGTTATTGAACAAAGGTAAACAAAAATTTATCAGTCTACTGTTCACAGTTGTGTATATAATGATAAAAATATCTTAAAATGTATTGTTATAAACTCATATGATTTTATTAACATTCCCTATATTATAATTACTTAGATCTTCAAATGCCTTTGTTTGATAAAGTGATTAAAAAAAAAAAAAAAAAAAAATTATATGCTGAATTACAGTGTGGTTATTTGTATATGAAATGTCTATGTTATTGCTAAGTGTAAAGCCACTTTCATTTTTATAGATGTATTCTATAAATTGAAGGAGTTTCTAAATATGCAGAAATCTAGCATTTTTTAAAAAATGTTGAGTTACAATCTATAGAATAATTTTCTAACCGATGAATCATGACCCTAATTCCAAAATCTCATTTCTGCGCTATATATTTGAACCCGTTATGAATGAAGGGAATCATTGGAGGAGTCACTAAAACAGAGAAGTCAATGTTGTATATTTTATGGAGAGTGGTCGACTGAGATTGGCAGGTCACCTGGCAAGAATGACTGAGGAAGAAACTATTCTTCAGCTTGGTAAGGAAGCTGGACTGGTAGAGAGGAAGAGGAAGACCAAGGTTAAGATGAAAAAATGCAGTCATGAGGGAGATCCAGTCTATTTTAGACATTTGTAATTGGAGACCTACTGCACAATACCAAGCGAAGGCTGTTACAGCCAAGTCCCTAATCAGGCTGTTGAACCATTGAAAGAAAGAAGAAGTTTTAAGAACCAAAAAAGTACTGAGAAACTAACAATAGTGGCACTTTTTTTTTTTTTTTTTTTTTTAATGACCAATAATGAATACATCCATAAAACTTTGAAAGAGACGCTCAAAACTTTACTCTTTTGGGCTATGGTTTTTTTCCAGGGTTTCTGGAAAGCCACCCAGCAACAGGATTTGAACTTTTATTCTTCAGTTTATCAGGTTGCCAGGCAAATGTATAGTTTGCACACGTGTAAACCCACTTGGCCACCCCACTTCTAACTTAATAATTTACTATAAAAAAAAAATTGTAGTTAGGTTTTTGAATTATGGTTGCGATGCTTTTTCTGTTAATAACTTTGAAACATACTAGCCCAGCCATAAGTTTTGGTCTCTCGGAAAATTAGTATTATTCCCTTTTCATCAATCTGAATTATGAATTACAACCAGTCCTACTCTATCAATAATTATTGATTTTTATATTTTCAGAAAAGGCACAGGGCTGATGGTGAAACGAATAAGAGGGAGATAGAAGTACTGCGAGATGGGAACTGGGAATGGGTACAATGGCAGACAATCGTTGTTGGAGATATTGTAAAAGTGCACAATAACAATTTTTTTCCTGCCGATCTCATAGTTTTAGCATCAAGGTAGTATTAAACATATTTCTACAATTCGCTGTTATAAGAAATAATTGAATCACTTGATTATTTTGGTATTTCCAGTGAACCACAAGGAATGTGCTACATTGAAACAATGAACTTGGATGGTGAAACTAATTTGAAAATAAGACAGAGTTTGACTGAAACATGCCATCTACTTGACACTACCGCACTCAACAACTTGTATGCAACTATTGAATGTGAACTTCCAAACAAATTAGTTTACGAATTTAATGGAAATCTTAAGGAACAAGGAAAGCCGTAGGTGTACTAAATACAAATATAAAAATTGAAGAACTTATATACCTGAGGACAGTTTTTTTCTGAAAATATTTATTTAACCTATTGTTTTTTTTTAAATGTTTTTATTTGAAGAAATAAATTGTTTTTAATTATTAATATTGTATTATTTAATAAAATTAAATAGTTTCAGTGCTGCCAAAAGATGAACTCATTTTCAAATATATTTAGAATTTCATGTTTATTGTTTATTTCTCATTGTAATTTTTAGTTTTTGTACTAGTATGTTTTACTTCAAATTCTATCCATTTTTAAAGAAAAAAATTATCCGTAGTTTGGTTATAAGTTCTTAACTTGTTTTATATATTTATTTTTAAAATGTTATTGGATGATATATATGTAATATGTTAGATAGAAAAGTGTTCATATTTGATACCTGATATTTTCGAGTAATTTTCAAATTATTTTAGCTTCCAATACATGATACAAAATTTGTTCTGCAGCTATGTAAATTTTGACTGATGAGTTTGACTATTTGCATGAAAATGATGCATTGTTAGGTTACAGATCTGTACTATGTGTTGATTGGAATGAATGTATTAAGTTATATTGAATATTTAATAGTTTACTGTTGCATTATAAAGGAAGGAGATGGTCCGGGGTGCCATTCATAAATATGCTAAATAGTGGCAAAACTATTTTATTAAAAGCCAACGTTTCGACCCGGCTTTGCAGGTCTTCTTCAGGGAGGTGTGTTCAGCTTAGAACTCAATAGAAATAGTTTTGCCAATATTTAGCCTATTGAATGTATTAAGTGATTTAATTTCTTTCTTTCGTTGATTAGATATGGGAACAAAAGTTGTGTAGTGATACAACTTTTATGTTTATACACCTGACAATCTGAGTTTAGAATAATTAGAGGGTTTTTTTTTTAATACTTTTTTTAAATGAATGTAAGTGTAAGATGTATTGATAATGTTTCCGAGAAAAGCAGAGTTCAGGCAGGTTAAGTGTTGTTTATTATGAGCTGCTTCAGCCCAATAAAGCCTTGAAGAGATATTTATATGCATTTGAATCAAGCAAGAGTGGCCACAATAATTACAGAGACACAAGATAAATTAATTTTACTGTACGAGAATGCATGAAATCCAGTTAAAACTTATTTGGAAACGCTGAAATAATAGAAAGTTCTGCCCCACCAAACCTTCTGAATATCACTTGTTCCATCGCTGACTCACGGCCTGGCAGAGCAGCACTTCTATTCTTATAACAAAAATAAAAAATGGGGAGATGACTGGATTGCCTCAAAAGACATTTCTTTTTCTTCAACCTGAAACCCACATGTTAACTGATAGACGTGTAAAAGTAGTCACTGGCGATGGACAAAACTTTGACCTACGTCTGACCATTATTTATAAATAAATTTTTCATTTTTATCATAAACAGCTGGAACTTATTCACATACTCTATATTAACAAATTCAAAAAGGCTTATTAGTCTCCCACACAGGTGCACAATTAAAGTGTAATATTTTTATACTTTTGAACAATTTTGTGATAGCTAATATGTTAATACAATTATTTTGGTTTTAATTGGTATTTGTATTAATTACTGAAATAATTTATAACAACATAAAATATCTGTTGTGCCCACTCTCTCAATAGCCATTGATTTTAGACTAATTTAAACTACTTTAAATATATTCAAGAATTAGCATTATTTCTTTAGTTGATTGTTATTGCAATTGTGTAGTTGATTGAATTAAACAATGTACAAATGATAGTAAATTTCACATGTTCATGAATGCCTGGGGATCCCGAAGATGTATCTTATGAAACAGCTCATGAGCTTCTTTAATCTCATTTCTAGCCTGGCAGATAACCCTCCATATATCAAGCAGCTTTATTCGAAGTAGGGGAATATAAAATATAAGGGAGGTTACGGTTAGGGAGGTTATGAGATATGATTATCATTCAAATAAGCATCTGGAATTTTGAGCGATATGATTAGAGTACTATTTATTTGATGAAATAGGCTCATGAACCATCGGTAGTCATGCAGAACAAAAAAAAGGTTAATTTTAAATCGATGCAAAAAACTTAATATGCTGTAACTTTGGTAAACTATTCCGATTTGGACCATTCTTTTTTTTAGTTCTGTCAGAATGAATACCAGTATTTAAAATGTGTTTTTTGGATTTAAGGGGTTCTTAAATTTAAAGATTCATTGAAAACCGTACATCGAACATTTGACCCAATAGCTATACTTTAAGATTTCGTAAAAATCATTAGTGTTGTTTAGGCACTGCCGTCTATAGAAAAACAAGTGTTTCTCTTACTGTGCAGCCTCTATTCCTCAGAGAGGAGGGCTCTATTTGATTTACAGGCATTGGTGGTCCGCTTGTTCATGAATAATCACCCACTAACAGATAAATGGCTGAAAATGCGTTGAGGACTCTGAAACATGAAGATCAATTGAAAACCGCACCTTGAAAATTTGACTCAGTTTACAATACTTCCTTTACCTATGAGTAGCTTTATTATCACATAACTTCAGTTTATGAGCCTTTCAGTTGACAGAATGACTTACTCCAATTTCAACATTTTTGAGTAATGTCATTTTAGTGATATTTCTACTTGGAAAAGTTATATATATACAGACAGTGAGCATGTTGATTCCAGATTAGGTGATTGCAATGTTGAAATATAAAACTGTGATAAAGGCATAAATTTTTCGCTCGAAACATCACTAAAATTAATAATAAAGAATGTTGAAATTGGAGTTAGTGATTCTAATAATCGAAAGGTTCATATATGCCTAGGGAAATTTGAATATTTAACCTATAAATGATTATGGATCGTAGGACTATTAGTTATTAAACTGTTATTTTCCATTGTAAAGTTTACTAAAATGAAATTACGAGATTTTCATTGCCTGCCACCAGGGATAGGTCAAAAGTTGTCACACTAATTGTAAGTGGATAATGTTTGGATTTTATAAAGGGAAAATTCATCAAATTAGTCACTATTTTAATTTCATAAAAGGTTAATTGATGATTTTTTGGAATAAATGGCCAATAGATACCTGATTATTTAAATATAATATCATATCTAGAGTTATTAAACTGCAGCAAAAGTATTTAAGATTATAAACATATCCAGGAAATATTTTTATATTCCACTTCTTCTTTCACACAAGTACAATTAAATAGTATTTTAAACAATGGCATTAGCGTGACTCGCTGGATTTTAAGTACTTTTTTTCAAGCTTAGAAAAACTTTCAAAGTTTACATTTAGTAAGAAAATTCCATTTAATTTCATTGGAAACATGCGATTTATGTTAAATAATGTTAGTTTTCTGAAATTATTATTTATACTTTTTTCGTCACTCTGTGTTACCTTCTACAACTTTATTTAATTAATATTATTTTTTCTAAAATTCTCTGCTTTCCAACGATATATTATATGTATATCTTCTGACTGTTATTTCTGGAGATCCATTTTCAACCTGGATAAGTATTTTTCTTTTTTCTCCATTATTGAATTATCAAATTCTTTCAAAAGTTATATTTAGCATTTTTTCGGGACTCCTAACAATGAGAGATTGTTAATTATTTAAAATAAACCAAATCAAAGGTACTTTAGTGGAAGAAATGTTGACATTAGGCATTTAAATGCTGTAAAGTTAAAAAAAAAGTTGTAATAGGAATAAGACCTAAGTGATATTACAGATCACTTAATTATACAATGATTCACCGTATAATCAAAATCATTAGAGCCGTTTTTGAGAAAATTGTAAAAATGTGTATCACCGTTGATACAAAGTGGCACTTCCGCATAGCCGTTTTTAGTTGCTGTAACATCTCAGTCATATATATATCTTAAATAGGTTATATCAGTTTCGTACGACTTTTCGTTTTTGAGCTAGACTGTTCACATACATACACAGAGACACATATACACACAGACCCACACACACACACACAGACCATTTTCCGCAACTTGGTTATTTGAACTCAGGAGACCTCAAAATATGTATTTCTGTTAAAACTCATATTGGAAAATTTTGACGATCGCAATACTTACCCTTACTATATATTTTATATATAGGCAAGTGAAAGTAAAAATATAACCACAAACATAAGAAATAAAATAACCATAAATGATTTTATATACTGCTAATTAATCAATATTTTGATTCTAAACCATCAATAGACTGTATGTGAACAATCAAGATCAAAAAAGTTAAGTTCCTAGGAAAGTGAAATTACGTATTTATGGTAGATAAAACATTTTTCCTGATTGGAAACAAATTTCTAGAAATAAGATTGATAACATATATTTTAAATATATACTTAAAAACCTTGGAAATAGAAAAAATAATGGATAGTAAATAGAAACGTATCACAAGTAATTTCTGAAAATTAATATTATTTAACGGAAACCATATGTTTCCATGGAAACTGAATTTTTTGTTTTAAAAACTTAATGGAAACAACGATTAATTTGAAGCTTGACAAATCAAAAATATTTAATAAATTGAATTTCATTCTGGAATTGTGTAAAAGTTATTTTATTATACTTTTGTGAGAAAAGACGTAAAGAAATTCTTGGAATACTTAAAATAAATCAAAATATTTTTTTTGTTTTATGTGCATTTCAGGTTCCTAGCCCTGGTTGTTCTTATTAAAAATAATACAAATCAAACTCATATAAAATTATTAAGTTCCTCTGAAAATTACTTGAGAATGTAAGGTACCAATTTTGTTAACATACATAGCTGACAGTAATTCAAGCGTTAACTGAACATTTGAAATTTACAGTGCATTACCTCTTGGCCCAGAGAGAGTGTTACTAAGGGGAGCTATGTTGAGGAACACCAGTTGGGTATTCGGTGTGGTAATTTATACAGGACATGAAACCAAATTATTGATGAACTCCACACGTGCCCCCTTGAAAAGATCGACTGTAGATCGCATTACTAACCATCAAGTTCTTATGCTGTTCTTTTTGTTGGTTCTTCTCTGTCTTATTTCGGCTTTGTGCAATGAACTCTGGACCAGACAGCATTCACGTAAACATTGGTACATCGCACTCTCTGGTATATACTTGATATTTCATTATTTACTTTGGAATGAGAAAATTGATGTAATTTTAGTCATAAGACTTAGACAAGGAAACTAAAAAGAACATACTTTATTTAGAAATTTCAAATGAAAAATTACTTCAATACAAAATTAATATATTATCACTTACTGTAAATCGTACTTGTTAGCCTAATGATAAAAATATTGACATTATTTTTAATAATATGTAAATACAAATTATAAATTTCATTTTCAGGTGCCGTTGGGAAGAATTTTGCTTACAATTTATTGACATTTATTATTCTGTATAACAACCTTATTCCTATCTCTTTGCAAGTGACTTTAGAGGTTGTGAGATTTGTTCAGGTGAGTTGCGTATAATCCCTGATTGATATTTAATTATCAATTTATACAAAGAGAAAATTAGATTTGTTGCATACAATTATTGACAATTAAAACTCCATGAAAGAAATAAAGTACTGACAATTGTAATTAATTGATAATTAATATTTATTAAATAATAATTAATATGTGATGAGACCATGTTATTAAAATGGAGGTCTCAAAGCACTTAGGTCAGAGTAGAAGTGTAGTTTGAAGGGACAAACCGGATGGCACTTAATGGAATGAGCCAATTTCTAAATTGAACATTTATTTAAACTAGTTTTAGTAAGAACAGGGAAGGGAGAACTTGAAAACAGGTAACCTGGAATTGTGATAGAAGACGACAATTTTGAAGTTAGCTCCATCTACCAATTGCTTCTGGTTCAAAATGGATTGCAAATGATTATGGTTATTATATTAAGTACCCTTTCTATCTTAGTAAGCTTTTTGAAACGTTTTCCTTCAAAGTGTACTTTGTAACTGCATGCCTTGTCACCAAGTACACTTGCCTTGTCTATTAAAGACCATTGTAAGGCATTGTACTTGTCTATTAAAGACTCAAAAATGGGACAAAATGGAGGTTTCAATAAATAGTTTACAATATTTGAAGTTCTTTTTTGTCTACTGTTCTGGAACATTTCTTCCCATAATGATTGTGCTTCATTTTATGTTTTATAAATTTGAAATTCTATCTCAAATTTGTAGTATTATTATCTCACCTGTTTTACAAAGGTTTCCTGAATTTCTTGGCCCATTCTCATCTGAAAGATACCAATGTCAAATTGTTTTATAAATATTTTTATATATTCCGGATTTGTAAGAATTTATAAGAAAATATTGTGAGTTTATAACAAAGAAGTTAAAAATTTAAGTTATAGCTGAACATAGTATAGAAATTAAAATATATACATAGTTGACTGTTGAAACTATAAGGATGAAAAATAAATAAAAAATGCAATCATTAATCATGTTTATTACATTTACCAATCATCATCAGGGTAATAATGGTTTGATGGCGAGATGAAAAACTTAACTATAATCTTTCCAAAAATTGTTATAATTAATAATTTTATTAGATTACATCTATTAAGTTGCTAAATTGTCCATGTATTAAATGTTTGCTTTACTTGTTAATATTATTCTTGCAATTGGTTTTTATTTAAGTATATTAACAATTATGTTGATTTATTAGTCTATTTTTTATATATTTTCTGTATAGGCAATATTTATAAATATGGACGTAGATATGTATCATGAAGAATCAGACACACCTGCTATGGCTAGAACATCAAATTTGAACGAAGAATTAGGAATGGTAAGAAATAAAATTTATAGGTAGTTTATTCTTAATGTTATCTTTACAGTAACTGTTATACACTTTATTCACTTCTAGGTTAAATATATTTTTTCTGATAAAACTGGGACCCTTACTCGAAATGTAATGGAATTTAAAAGATGTTCAGCTGCTGGAAAACTTTTTGAAGCACCCATTGATTTAGATGTTTATGATATCCCAATGATAAAGGTATTTTTTTTTTAATTTTAAATAAAAATAATTTGTTGCCTTTTTTTGTTATCTATTAGGGGATATCATCGAAGGAAATGATGAAAAGATAATATTGAATGATAATTTACAGAAATTAAATCTTTGTTATAGTTCCAAAAGTGTTTGGTTTGGCATATAGTCCATTTTTCTTGACTTTGTGATCAAATTATCTTATGATCCAAGTAGAAAGGAAATGTGTATTTACGAGTTTTTAGTACCTAATTAAATAGACAAAGTTTGCTCCCCTCCAGATTGAAAACGCCCCAATTCCAAGAGTTTTCGTAAATAAAATATTTGTAGGTTATGATGAGATGAAACTATTTACGAAGTTTCTGGCGGATGTTAATAATTCGATAAAAAGGGGTCTGTACCACGGACTAATAGGTATTTAATCCTATTATTTTGAAAAATCCTTTCTGTTTCTCTGTTATGTCTCTTCTCTGAAATTCTCTATAAAAATTCGCTCAATTCCTAGAAAGCGGAATTAATAAGTATACTGAGTTAAAAAAAAATTTTGTTTTAATTGTTACTGATAATAATCATGTTATGAAAAATTTTAAACCTTTTGTAAATGAGAGGAAAGACTTGTTCTCCAATTACAAGTGTCTGAGTAAATAAGTTGTTACGATATATATAAGTTTTGAAGCTATTTATGCATTAAACATATTAAGTGACCGGTAACATATGTAATCCCACTATTCTGTAAAGTTAATCAGCCTAGTAGGTTTTGAGGGGCAAATTCCAAGATTTTCGTAAGTTAATCTTTCCTGTCACGTCCATGTTTTAAGTTTATCGAGATGCGTTTTTGAAATTTATATTTCATTAAAAGTTTTTTTTATTCCTGGATTTTATATATTTTAATGTCCTGTTACTTTTATGAAAATAAATAAGACATTATTGAAAACAATAAAAGCCGATCCAGCATGTTGTGTGATATTAGTTCAGCTCAATGTCAAGCAAGGACTAGTCAATCTCAAAATCATTTGCCTTATCAATAGTAACAGTATTTCAATAAGTATTGTAGTTGTAGCATAAATACCTTAACAAATAATCTGTTTATTGTTTTTAAGGCGTTAAAGGAAGGTGACGAGAATTCAGACATTATTCGTGAATTTCTTATTCTTATGTCAATTTGTCATACTGTGATACCTGAGAAAACACAATTTGATGAAGTTATTTATCATGCATCATCACCTGGTGAGGAATTTTGAAGATTTAATGAGTTTTAAAAAATATTTTATATTTAATAATAAGTAGTAAGAAATTAATTCTCTCTATGTATTTTTTTTTTAAAGATGAAAGAGCGCTTCTCCAAGGTGCAAGGAGCCTTGGATTTGTGTTTGATACTAGAACTCCAAACTCAGTCGAAGTAGAAATGCTCGGTGTTCGTGAAAAATATGAGATACTCAATGTCATCGAATTCACAAGTGCTCGAAAAAGAATGTCTATTATATCAAGAACTCCCACTGGGAAAATAATTTTGTATTGTAAAGTAAGTTAGTTTATGTTTTACTTATGAACTATTCATTTAACTTTCTTTCTTTTTTTTTTATAACTTTATTCAAATATTCCTATGTTTAAAATTGTTTATTCAAATCAATTCAGAAAAAAAATGAAAAATTTATTGGTGATTATTTAATTACATAAAGGATACTGTTATAAAGTGTTTTAGGGAAAGAATACATTTATATTGGATTATACCAGAGGTCCTGATTCATTTTATTTTTTTAGGACAAAAATGTTACTAAACTATTATGTTAAAGTTATTAAGTGTAATTACCTAATTTTCTAACGTATTTATCATATAATTACCTAATTGTCTAAAATATTTTCTGTCTGCTCAATCCACATCAATTTTTATTTTGACTTAAAATACTTTATTAGATTTATTAGGTTGATGTTTTATTTATTTTTAATATTTTACTTAACTTAATTAGTGCAGAATATTCCCAAGCCCAGAGTTATGATTTATAAAATTTTGAGCAGTAATATTAAAGTTGCTAAAAGGATGAAGTTCTGAGGTCTATTTTATAGGCAATCAAAGTTTAAACTATTATATAAAGATAGCTTAAGTGTATCAAAACTGAGTACATTAATTTTAATATCTTATAAAACTCTTTATTGGACCTAGATTAAATCACTAACTTATTTTTGTTATATTCTAAAAATCTCCCATAAAAAAAACAATAACTACACCAGAATCTAGTGGTAGGTGACACTGATAAAGTTATATATAAAAATGAAATGAAATGAAAAAATAATTTTATTCTGAGACTACAGTCCGCTAAGAATAATAACAAAGTTACATAATTAAGAACATGGTTGTGAAACAGTTCATGAGCTTCTTTAATCTTATTTCTAGCCTGGCAGATAGCCCTCCGTACACCAAGTAGCAATAGTCGAAGTGGGGGAATATAAGGGAGGTTACAATACAATCACGGAATCTTAGGAGTTGTTTAAGGACAGTTATGGATTTTCGGATAATCTGAGAGATATGTTTATTCCAAGAGAGGTTCTGGTCAAAGGTTACTCCTAGGTTTTTGGCTGTAGGAAAAAAATGGATAGGGCGGTTATTGAGGTAAAGTAGAGGAAATTAGGAAAGGAAACTAATGAGATTTCTGGACCCGATGAGAATAGCCTTTGTTTTATTATTTTATTATTCTGCATTCAGCTTTAACTCATTTCTTTCAGTCCATCTGTTGATGCAGTCGATATCCTCTTGTAGCTTTCGGGTAGCATCAGGCATCTCAGAATGATGGTATGGTGGAATGATTGGTAAATTCGGAAATCATCAGCATATAGGTGGTAACGGGAATGTTGAATGGCATCAGAAAGGTCACTAATACAAATAGAGAAAAGGGTCAGAGAGAGGGAGGAACCCTGAGGAACACCTCGTGTTATATACTCCTGTTTATAGTATTAAATTTTAAAAAAAAAGTTTTAATGTAGTAGTGATGGATCATTTTCCTTGTGGACGGGGTGGCTGAACAGGCTAACGTGTGTGCATAGCACCGCCGTTGCCCGGCAACCTGATATATGAGACAATGGATTTAAAATGGTCACGAGTTCGCTTCCCGGTGCCAGGGGATTCTTTTAAATCCCCGCCCACATCCCCTGGCCAGGGAAAACCCGTATAGTCTTAAAGGTGAGGAAGGAGAGGATCCAAAAAAAAAAAAATCATTTTCCTTTAGATGTGATAAATGAATGATTGTTAGTATAAATATACTAACAAAGTATATATTATACATATATAAATAATGGGTTATTTAATTATATTAAAGTTTCTGTTTGAAATAATTATTTATTATTAATTAATATATTTTCTAGGGTGCTGATTCTGTGATTTATGAGCGTTTATCAAAGGAAGGACAAAAATACAAAGAGGAAACGCTACAACACTTAGAAGAGTTCGCCACAGCTGGTTTAAGAACATTATGTTTTGCAATGGCAGAAATTTCACAACCTGATTATGAGGTTTTAATTACCATTTGTACTATATCCATATGTAATGCATGTATTGAAGTGAGGTACCTACGGTCTCTACTTAATGTGTCTTTTTTTACTGTTGATGAGATATAAGTTGTATTTAGTCTGCATGTATATGATGTTGATTGTTTCCATCCTGGTGATAATTGAATTGCCATAATGGGTTGATTGTTTACATGCATTTTAAAGCCTCAAAGCTTTGTTCTTCGAAATTTTCCAATTACATCCTGTTGTAATTTGTCTCTATTTGAGTTTTCCCTGCTCCAAAACTGCTAGATGTTTTCAAGATAAAACTCCCTCCACTAAATACTGTCTTCAACCGAAAAGGAAGATAGAGCTCAACTACTCCAGCAGTGCACCATCTACATGTTCTACCTCCTTACTGACTCTTTGCTAATGCCCTCCCATATCAGTTGCAGTAGAAGTCAACTATCATTTAAGAGTTAATGTATAACCCTGTTGTTTATTTAAACATTCAATGGTAGAGCAGATGTTTATTGCTCTGCCGCTTGTTTGTTTATTAAATAGATGTATATAACAACAACAAGAATCAGTGATATTAACTCTTTTCATTGTTTGATAGACCAAATTTATTTTTGTTGTGTCCACTAAGACAGTTTTCAGTTGTTAGCTGTACTTTTTACTTTACAATAATTAGTCTCTTTTTTAACTCCAATGAGCTTAAATAGTGGTCACGATCACATCCCCTTTTGGTTTCCTCATGAGTAGGTTGTAGTCTGAGCGAAAAATATGTTTAAAAAAGTAGCTGTATATTGTTTTGTTCTTGTAATGAAGATAGTTTTTATTTATTTGACATTTGAAGTATAACTTCATGAGTTTTCATTAAAATTTTAATATATTTTTTTAATTGATTCTTATTGTTTTATTTAAATGATATTTAATTTCTGAAATTATGTTTTTGGTATGCTTATCTCTAAAAAACCTTTTTTTTGCAGGATTGGCAAAAAATTTATCATTCAGCTTGCACATCAATGATAAATCGAGAAATGAAAGTAGAAGAAGCTGCCAATTTAATTGAAAAAGATTTGATTCTTCTTGGGGCAACGGCTGTTGAAGATAGGCTTCAAGACAAGGTAGTGGGCCATATTAAATTTATTTTTTTTTTAATTTTAATGAAAAAATAATAAGTAGAAAAATAATAAAATATGATGTAATATTAATAATTTTGAAATGATATTAAACTTTTTTAATTTGATTTATTGGTGTTTTTAGATGTTCAATCAATATTAATGTCCATTAAATATAAAGTTTGTTAATAACATTGTAAGAACAGATTGCAAAATGAAATTGTAATTAATAGCCATTGGTGTTAATAGGGATTTAAGGTGTGGCTACTATGGGACGGTACTTTTTATCATTTTATTGTTACTGCCCATCTATGATTGTTGTGCTTTATAAAGTTTGAAAATATGTTAATTAATTAAAAATATTTATCTGATTTTCAACTATTGAAGGGTTTGAGTGAAGTATATGTAGATATTTGATTTAGTATGTAGATAGGAGATATACATGAAGTATATGTAAATGTTTCTCAGTTCACAGATCAATAAAAGATAACCTCTGCTTTGGGTAACACTTTTTTTTTAAAGTTATGTTGAACTTTATTCCGTTCAACTCTTATGGCAGTGGCATTACTTATATTATTGTTTTCTAATAATATGTAAAAAATAATATTTTTCTCTATGGGAAAATCAATCAGTTCCACTTTCACTTGAAGTGACTAAATTTCAATACTTTTTTTTATTTACAATTTTTTGACAACTTAGTTGTTTGTTGTATCCAAATGTTCTTGCCATTTCTTTCGATCTCGCTCATCTCTCTCTTGAAGACCTCTGGCAGCCATGCCTTCCTCCACATCCTGTAACCATTTCTTCCTTGGTCGTCCTCTTTTTCGCCTTTCTATCGGTTGATAGAGAAAGGTCAATTTGTGCCATCCGTCCTCTGTCACTCTGTGAATGGTCTATACCATTTCTACCTTTTTGTTTCTATATCGTGGAGCATAGTTGTTTCTTGCTGAACATTCTGCCTAATGTGTTGTTAAGATCATGCTGCAGTCTGACTCAACAGTGTCTCCAAATTTCACAAAAAAAATAAATAAAAAAAATTGTAGTATATTTTAAAATGGAGGTTTTGGATAAGGATGATCACAGATACAAGCAATTTTAATGAACTGAAATAAAAATGGACTCAATAGCACTATTGTTCAAATTATAGAGCTAACAATTCCAGCTAGTTAAAGTGGTATAGCAACATTCTTGGTGAGTTTACGATAAGAACAGAATAACTGTTGCCTTACAACATGCAGGTGACCCTTGGAGGCTGGGAAATTATGCTTGAATCTTGTCAAGTACATCTTAAATTTTTGTTTAACATTTTGACTTAAACATTAAACGTTCTTTGAATCATACAAACTAATTTCTTAGTTGGTCAATATTTCAAAAAATAAAGGTTTCCTTCTGAATTAAAATGCTTTTCCTTAAGTTTACATGTACATACAATAACTAAATCAAAAATCTGATTTTGTAAAAATGTAATATGGACCAAACCCTTAGATTGTTGAAGGAACCATTTATTTATTTATTTCTATTTTATGTTTAAATGATTTTGAAGTAACAATTTTTATATTTTAGGTTCCTGAAACCATTTCTGCATTATCGAAGGCTGGAATAAATATCTGGGTTTTAACTGGTGATAAGCAAGAAACTGCCATTAACATCGGTTATTCTACAAAGCTCATTGTTCAAGGGATGCCTCTTATAGTTATTAATGAGTCTTCTTTAGATGTTAGTATTACTTTCATCTTAATAATTATTTTTTTGCTATGAAAGCTAACAGTTCTTGATTTTTAATAGTTTTATGGAATTAGTTTCTTGTTAAAGTGGCTTTACACATTTCCTAAACGCTGCAAATTCAACCTCTTGTTAAATATATAAAACCAACAAATGAGGTCTTGAGGGATGTCTTGAGGGATGTGTTAATATGCTTTTGTTACAGAGAAATATTTTGAGTTAAAATATGGTTCAATTTCTATTTTAAATAGAAAAAATACAGAAAAAATTTAAAAATACAAAGATCTGTTGAAATCTCAAGCAATACTAGTGCTTTGGTGATACTTTCCACAAGCTGTTTTTTATTTGTCTTCAAATACCAACAGTGAACAGATTGCCATCAAACATATACAAAATTGCACAGGCATATCAAAACAACTCTTTTATTCACTCACAATCTCCATGGTTTGGGTAATGTGTAGATTTGGAATATATTTTAATGATTACTTTTCTATTTGTCTCTTATTGAGTCATCAAATCTAATATTAAGTTTTTAAGTTGGTCCCTGTTTGGACGCCAAGTATTACAGTTTTCAAGTCTCTATTCAAAGCTTTGAGTACGCTAATATAAATATTATTGACATTTGAGACAAACAATGGAATCTTAACACTGATAAGAGCCTTCTTCATAAAGAATTCACTAGCACTGGAATCACTACTTGATTCACTGACTAATTAGATCTCAACGTCTAGAACTCTAGACTTGAGATGAATTAATTCAGACACTTGAGTATTTGTATCACTTATTAACCAGTATACTCAACTGCTACTAAATAACTAGCTAAATTGGACTGCCTGGTTCAAAGTTCATAAAGAGATGGTCTGTCCCTTTTAACTTCAATCAATTTTAAAACTTGTTCACTTCAAAAGTTTGTAATAAAAGGATTATAATGAAATACACACTGAAAACTACAAAATAGAAAAATTATGGCATACACATCATATTTCTTGAATACAAAGATTGCTCTAATAGTGTTGTCAAAAATTTCTAACCTGGATTAATTTGGTCTCGTGACCCCTTAACAAGTTTCTCAACCAAAGCGAATTTATCTAAGAAACTACCACCTGCCGGTCCATGCTACATACTTTTAAACTGCTTTCCACCCTTAATTACTGGCTCTTACACCATCTGTTAACCTTATTTTATTATTTCCATTATCCTTTTTAATTCGGGCAGTAGACCGACACTGGTGAAGTTAAAACTTTTTATTTATAATTTTATTTTATTCATTTAAATATTTGTTTTATATTTTAGTTTGTATGGTATTCTTCGAAGCTTTTGTAAATACTAATAGAAACCTTACAATTGTAACGTTCTATCTTGGTTTTATGCCAAATATTTTTTTATATTATATTTCTTTCGGCAATAGTAATGAATTCAGCAGCTTCTGCAGCAGTAAACCACGATTTCTCTATTTTAAAGAAAATAATGAAGCAAAAAACAAAAATCAAAAGACAAACTTCTAACTAAAAAATAACTGAAACAATTAATTTTATACGTTACTAACTAAACTAATCCTATTTGATCTAACTTCTAACTAAAATAACTAAGGTTAATATATTACTAAAAAAAAAGTATTTATACAAGCCTTCTCTTTACTTTTGATTGGTTTCAGGCAGTGCGTGAAACAGTATTGTTAAATTTAAATAATATTGATGCTAATGGTCAGTACGCATTGGTTATTGATGGTCAAGCCTTAAGATATGCTCTTACGCCTGACGTCAAGTCAGACTTTCTTCAGTTATGTATAGCCTGTAAATCAGTCATCTGCTGTAGAGTTTCTCCCATGCAAAAGGCAGAAGTAAGAAGTTTATTGTTTTTTTACCATTTCTAATGTAAAGTACACATCTATTAATGTTTATAATCCTTGTAACAGGTATATTTTGTTAGGTTGTAGAAATGGTTTCAAGTACCACAAAGGCAGTAACCCTTGCAATCGGTGATGGGGCCAATGACGTAGCAATGATCCAGAAAGCTCATGTTGGTGTCGGTATATCAGGTGTCGAAGGTCTTCAAGCAGCTTGTGCTTCTGATTATTCGATAGCGCAGGTAAAAATTTGTGTGTTTCTGAAAAGATGTATTTAGTTTATATTAATGGAACATGCACATTTTCTGAAAGAATATGTTTAAATCTTATTGTTGGTTTCAAACCTGGCTGAATTTAATGGTTATACTAATAGCAATTACTCAAGAAAGACTAAGGATTTAAAAATATATACATGTATATATTGTAATATCTCTTATATTTTTAAACTAGTAATATAACCTTGTTTATAGTTTTGGGATACTTCCTAAATAAATAAGAGGTTATTAAATAATAAACAAAATTATAAGAATATTAATATATTAAATTGAAATTTATAATTATTTTATCTCAGGTGTGGGTTACTGACAGTCAAACCAAACATTAACTACACTAAACACTGTTTGATTTTAAAATAAAGTCAAATATGCATTGGCAAGCTAACCTTTTTTCTGTATATGTTGTTTCTTCGTTTGTTACACTAAATTCATTTGTCTTCTAACATTTTCCTATGTTCTGCCAAACACATCTTCCAAAATTGTGTCACTTTCTTCTACTCAACTCAAGCTCCCTGGGAGATCCTCTCTCTTGTATTCTCAAACAACTAGTCTCTCTGCCAAACAACAACTTCCAAGATGGTAATACTATTACTGGGTCTTACTCACTGGAGCCAGGATCCCTTCTCTCATCCTCTCTTAACCCCAGCCAAACACCAACTGCTTGCCAAAATGAAATCCTTTGTGTCCCCTCTCCTCTTTGGGATTTTCCTTTCTGGCGAACTACAGAGCATTCAATTTCTTTTCCTTAAACTAGTGAAACTATTTTTGAAATTTAAACGTCTCCTGACATTAGCAGAACTAGATTAGCTTGCCTTTTAACAGTTCATTATTAATTTACTAAACCATTTTTAACAACTTACAATAAAGGTGTATATATATATATATATATATATATATATATATATATATATATATACACACCTTTATTGTAAGTTGTTAAAAATGGTTTAGTAAATTAATAATGAACTGTTAAAAGGCAAGCTAATCTAGGAAAAGAAATTGGATGCTCTGTAGTTCGCCAGAAAGGAAAATCCCAAAGAGGAGAGGGGACACAAAGGATTTCATTTTGGCAAGCAGTTGGTGTTTGGCTGGGGGTTAAGAGAGGATGAGAGAAGGGATCCTGGCTCCAGTGAGTAAGACCCAGTAATAGTATTACCATCTTGGAAGTTGTTGTTTGGCAGAGAGACTAGTTGTTTGAGAATACAAGAGAGAGGATCTCCCAGGGAGCTTGAGTTGAGTAGAAGAAAGTGACACAATTTTGGAAGATGTGTTTGGCAGAACATAGGAAAATGTTAGAATATATATATTATATATCTTCTTCTTTTCCTTCCTCTCTTGTACCTCTCAGCGTCCAAGCATGCCAACTGTCCCGGTCCCCTGCCAGCGTCTTCATGGAATCCAATCACTTTTCTCTTTCTCTCCCAACCAGGCCATATGATCCATCCATGACATCCTTGGTCTGCCTCTTGGTCTTTTACCAATTGATCTTGCTTCCAGGAACTTGTGTGGTTCGCGATCATTATTCGGCATACATGACCAAACCACTTCAGTTGCTTCTTCCACTTCTTCTCAATGGTCTGAACTAAGGTTTTCATTACTAACTCTTCTCTTATTCTCTCATTTCTAATAAGATCTCTGAGTTCGTCCAGCTACTTTTCTAAGATACTTCATCTCTGCTGCAGTGACTGCTCAAATGCTTGTCAAAGAACCCAGCTCTCACTTCCATATAGGAGTGTGGGGAGGTAGATTGTGTTAAAAATGTGTAGTTTCACCTTTTCTCGACTTTCCGTTTCCCAACAACAAAGTCTTGTGTGTGTTGTGTCGTATATTTGGTAGTATACGTTGTTTGCCTCTTGGATATTTCTTGATCTATTCTACCATTTCTTTAGGTAGGCCTTGAGGTTGATTCGACGGCGCTGCGTCACCTAACTGCCTCGATCTTAAAAGCATAAGCTTCTAAAATAATGCATTCCTCAGAGTCCGCAACCTACATAATTCCCGGGTTTCTTGCCACCAGTTAAGTTATATAGTAATATTGGAATTAAAAATAAAATAAAAGGTAATGAAGTGAACACTGTGACTGCTTGAATAATACTAACTTTAAAATATTAAAATATATATTTTTTATATTCTTTTATAAATCTGAATCAATTCATTGATAAACTACTTATCAATGCACTACCTATCACACACATATATATATATATATATATATATATTTACCAAGCAACATATTCTGTCAAGAAAGACTCAGATATATATATATAATAATAATAATAATAAAAGGCTTAGCGAACCCGAAGGTTCGATGCCGACACCACCAATCGCTTATTACACACCTCCCTCCACAGTTCGCCGTCCAAACCCAGTCCCTTCAGATCGGCTTTAATGCAATCTTCCCACCTTCGCTTCGGTCTACCCCTCGGACGCTTACCATTCGGCACCGCAAATATTAACCTTTTAGGAATTCTCTCGTTACTAAGCCCAACAACTTTACAAGCCCATTTGATTCGCCGCGATGAAATTACTTCAATTATATTACTCGGATACAGCTCACGCAATTCGGCGTTGTGTAACCGTCTGAACTCTCCGGTTAACTCATCCTTCTTCGGTCCGAATATTCTACGCAATACTTTATTTTCAAAAACCTTAAGACGCTGCTCATCCCTTAATGTAAGCGGCCAAGTTTCGCATCCATAAAGAACTGTAGGCAAGATAATTGTTTTATAGATTCTAATTTTTAAGTTTCGGGACAAGAGGCGCGAACTAAGTAGTTTTGTCACAGAAAAATAACAAGCATTCCCCGCCTTTAGTCTAACCTTAATCTCTTCTTCAATTTCGTTTTTTCTAGTTATCGTAGAACCTAGATATCTAAATTTATCTACCTGTTCAAACATATTACCATCTATATCGATATCACCAGTAGTATCGCCATTTTTGCAGCTAACCATATATTTTGTTTTATCCACGTTTATTTCGAGTCCTAGTTTTTTACCGGCTTTCATTAACGTTGTCGTATTTAGTTTTATAGTTTCAACGTCTTCGCTTAACAGTACCAGATATATATATATATATATATATATATATATATATATATATATATATATATATATATAGATAGATAGATGGATATATTTTAAATCCTGAGTCTTTCTTGACTGAATATGTTGCTTGGTAAACATACTGGAGAGCAGTACTGAGGCTATTGATAAGAGGTTCTGAAGAAGATCCCATTCTATATATAAGAAAAGAAGAGATTGAAATTTTATCAAATAAAAAGAATAAACTCCAAAATTTATGTAGTTCATTAAATTGTAAATTAAATGACCTAATACTCGAGAAGAAGAATTATTTCAGAATATATATATGTATATATATAGAACAATTAATGTTTCATTTTATTATATACTGTAAATATTTGTATTTATTTATAATTTGTTTTTTCTTATTTCCAGTTTCGTTTCCTATTAAAACTGCTGTTTGTACATGGAGCTTGGAACTACAGTCGAATGTGTAAGCTTATACTTTACAGTTTTTACAAGAATATCTGTTTATATGTCATGGAGCTATGGTTTGCTATATATTCTGGTTGGTCTGGTCAAATTTTGTTTGAAAGATGGACTATCGGTCTTTATAATGTTGTAAGTATTGTTTTTGTTCATTTATCTAAAAATATTTTTAATTAAACTGAAATATACTGTAATGATGTGTTGAAAACTTTAGTGCAGAAACATTTTGAGTTATCTGTTTTTACTCTAGTATCACTTAAAATTGCTTTTTAAAATTTGAAGTTGGGGGTGACCACTAACTAATATGGAATTAACCAAGATTTTGAATTTATCAAATTTATCTACTAGCGGTTTGCTTATCCTGAGCTACTTCTAATAGTTTTTCAAAAACGTGTTGTAGTTTGGAGATTAATTATATATTTTCATAATATGGATATATCTCTGGCTTAGCAGGATATTGGTCGTTATCTTTTAGGCAACAGGAAGGACTACTATGTCTCTCTATATGCACAAAGCCTTTCTTTAGGACAAGGAACTCATGTTCTAAGCCAATGGTATCTTTTCCTCTTCTCTCAGCTCTTCTCCATCTTGAAACAGCTATGGTAGTTGGCTTTTCATCCCCAGTGCCTTAATTGTTTTAAGCTTTTGGATATCTAATTCAATCTCCTGTGGGATAAGGTCCTCATTGTGATTTATAGATCTTCAATTATTGTTTTGAATTGAATTATATTTTTAATCAGCTCACAGAATTATGTATATCATCTGTTTATTGTATAAAGTAACTCAATATATTTTTTATATATGTAAAAACAATAAATGTATAAAAATGACACAAACTCTATTATATATAAGAAATAGTTAGTCTAAGTTCACAATACTTTGATTTTACAAAATGAAAATTCTTCAAAGTACATATTAATTTATTTTTATGAAATGTTATTTAATAACTTTTTGAAAAAAAAACTGGTGATACATATTTTGTTATTCATCAAAGTTTTTGGCTCAAAAACTCATTTAACTTAGATTTTTAAAAATATATATTATTATTAATATTATACATAATTATCAATAAATTGAAAAATATTGGCTATATTTTTAATATGAATTTTTAATTTTTAGTTATTTACTGCTGCTCCTCCATTGGCAATTGGTCTGTTTGACAAAGTTTGTTCATCTGACACAATGCTTCGTTATCCAAAACTTTATGGACATCGAGAAGGCAGTTTTGGAGTTAATATTTTTTGGTTGTGGATTGGAAATGCTTTAGTTCATTCCATTTTACTTTTCTGGCTCCCTATGTTGAGTGTCAATCATGATAGTATATGGCCTTCAGGAAAAGATGGAGGTTACTTAGTCCTCGGGAACTTAGTATATACAGTAAGTATTCATATGTTGTCCAGATAAAAATGATAAATATTTCTGTAATATTTTCTTTTAATCATTTAAATGTTCTTTATTTAACTTATATAAAACTAATTACTTTTCATCACAAATAATTAAAATCTATTAATACTTCAGGACACTAATTTATATATTATTTATTATTTTAGTATGTAGTTGTTACTGTCTGTTTGAAAGCTGGTTTACATATGAACTTTTGGACTGTTATCACTCACCTGGCCATTTGGGGCTCTATTTTGGCATGGTTTGTTCTCATTATTGTGTACAGGTAAGAAAATAATTAAATGTCGATGCCTTTGAAGAAAATATATTATTTTTTTTAATCTGTGTTTTAACGTTTTATTCCAGCCATGTGTGGCCAATTTTACCTATCGGACCAGTCATGACAGGGATGGATGTGATGATTTATTCCTCGGTTGTCTTCTGGTGTGGATTAATATTTGTTCCTGTTGTCACTCTCCTTCCTGATCTTACTTTTATAGTGTAAGAATTTTTTTTCATCTCCTATATTTATTGAGTCGTTATTTGAGTTTAATTTTTAAGTGATTTGGGGAAATAAAAGTCTTTTTGGAAAACATCAAATTAATCTGAATTCTAGCGCAGGTCTCACTACTGTGATGCATTATCATAGAGAGCAAAAAATATGAGCTATATTAGTATTTTTATTTTTTCAACTCATTGAGTAAGAAGTTTTGTTTTGTTTTTTAACAAACTTTAGCGGTTTTTTTTTTATGTAAATTCATTTTATCGATTTTCATCATTTTTGGTTGATTTCTAGATAAGACATTCTTTTAAAAAAATATATCATTCATATTTGTATAATTAATCAAAATTTATTTTTTATTTATAATAATAATAAGTGAAAATAATATTTGTGCTTTATTTAAAGGCAATAATCAGCAGACATAAATATAAATGTTCGTATCTCATATACTTCTAAAATTAATTTATAATTCTTTAGACTGTTGGTAATGCAATGTCCATTTGTGTATTTATTTGGGGAAGGTAATTTTCCATTACTTTGAGCTCTTGAACATTGTTTCTTAATTACTAAATCTGTAACCTGGAGGTGAAGAACACAATGCCTTTTTTATTTGTTCAGGGATCCAATTTCCCATAACTATGAACTACTTGAATTTGTTTCTTAGTTACTAAATTACTTGATAAAAAAATGGACATGGTGATCTTTACCTCGAGGGCACAGAATTTTAATATAAGTTTCCCTATAAATAATGATAAATATTTAAAGGAGTGATACATAGAAGTTTATTTGGAATATGGTCTGATTCCACAAATAAAAACAGTAAATTCAAAGTTCTTTTTTTTTTTTTTGAAAAAGTAGAGGTAGCTAAAAAACTTCATCATTTAAATAATTATCAATTGCAGAATAGTAAACTAGATCACACTTTTTTTTAAATGCAAGTAGAATTTGTTATTGTTAAATCATTTAAAGCTAAGTTCAGTTGTCTAAAAAAATCATGGATCAGTTATTTTAAAAATCACAGTTATTTTATCAGCCTCATACTGATACTCGTACAGATTTCCCACATTTAAAAAAACTTGCTTGTTTAGTGAGATTTAAGTCCGTATAAGTTAATTTGAGGTTTGTTACAGAATTAAATGCCCTAAATTGTATACTATCACCTCTTTAAATATTTCCCGTTGTTTACAGGACACCCTGTTTTTTCTGTGATTTTTTTTATTTTATTTTATTTTTTTTAATATTATAATATTATCATACTGCTAGGAAGTGCAGTGTCAATACAAACCTCCACTGTATTACACCCAGGAAAGTGTGCTATTGCCAGTTCTCTCAGGGTTTCAAGCTGATTAATGGTATGTTTGCCATTGACCCTCGGTGTACCCAGCATCCTTGGTCTTTCTATTTAGAAAGTATTTTCTTTATCCTACATAACATAGGAATGTTATCTATTTCTTGGCAGGAGTTCCTCCAGGACCATCTTTCGTCTTTACTCACAGATTTTTGATATTCTGTGTGGGTAGCAGTCTTGTAAACCTCCTAATTGCCAGATCTTTTAGCGGCATTGAACAACCTTCTAGTCAGTGTCTTTTGTCTATCTAAATCTTTGTTCCACCAGGATACTCTCCTTTTGGATACTTTAGTTTGAATATCATTGCTGCTTAAATAAGAGTTCTTAATAGCATCTCAATTATACATAATAGCATGTCAAAGATGAATTGAGACATTGTAGCTGCCAGGTGTTATTTATAATTTTTGGACAGCATTTGCATCCCTCGCCTAAATATGAGAAGTACACTTCCCAGTCCGTAGACTTTGGATTTCTATACTTTTCAGAAATATTAGTGTTATCAGGCAGGTCAAATCTGATATATTTTTTTATTTACTCGCAAAAATTATTTGAAAATTATATTATTATTTTTTTTTTTATCGATTGATATGAATTTTATTAAAATTCATGGGATTATATTTAACAAAATCTTAAAAAGTTAATAAAAAAAAGTGTATGATTAATTGATAATAATTTAATTCTTTTTCTTTTTTTTTCCTTAAAAAAAATGGTTTTAAAAAATAGCAAGTGATTTCATAAAAGTGATATTTTTTAATAATTATTTTTAAAATATGTTTTAAAGGGTTCAAAGGACTATATTCAAATCATTAACTGAAGCTGTTAGAGAAAGCGAGATAAAGAAAAAAGATCCATCAGCAATGTTGATTGAGAGCAAGCCATCGTAAGTATTTAGTTTTATTTTAGCACGGTGTTACTCATATGGCAGTCCATTCTTTATAAGGTTTATTTGTTTTTCATCGCACTATTATTTTATTTTTTGCATGGCTTGTCCAGCTGTTTCTTTTTTTATAAAAGGTTGTTAGATCATGGTTGTTTGATCAATTAATATCGGAATAGTTTGTTCTATTTTTTTAAAACTCGTTAACTCATTTGTTTTTAAGTGAATTAATGGATAATTTTATAAGGTAAGATATCGTATTTGCTTTATTATAGGTTGAAATTTTTTTCTAAACTATTTTCCCATTAAATGAAGTTTCACACTATTTTTTAATTCATTATTGGATACATTACTGGTTTTAAGTCACTTTATAATTAGGATAATGGTGCTGGGTTCCCACCCTGAAACAATAAAGTTTTGCCACATTAGTAGCAGAACGATTTCTGAATCATTTCATTTTCTATGTTTAGTTTTTTTAAAGCGGCATGAGTGCACTGCGCCCATGTAGGCCAATTATACGCCTCTCTTAAAGTCCCTCCTGTTTATAGCGTAATTCCTGCGGTCTCAATGAATTGTAATAAGCTTGTTGGATTGATGAACTTGTTCGCCTTGGGATCAATCACCCTATAAATGCCGAATGATCGGAATCTTAGTCCAGCAAACCTGTCACTCCAACAAGTAATATGATAAGCCGTTTCATCCATTTTGTATGTTAAATTGCACTTTTCCCCCACTTCTAGTTTCGAACTATTAATCTTTGGCTTAGTACAGCCAGAATCAGTAGGAAAAGTTTTTAAAAATTAAAATAATATGTGTATAATTATATCTCCATTTAATAGCATATATGGCTGATTTCTTGTCCATCTGATGTTTTGTACTAACTAATCATAATGTTTATTATATTGGTTTATTACTAAAAGTCAATAAGTACATTTTCATGAATCTGAACTTTGAAACAATTTTTTGTGAATTTGGAATTCATTAGTCCACAACAAAACTCAGAAAGTGCATCAAAATTATATAAACCCTTTGATGTCGAATATATTAACAAGCGCACAACTTTCTGATTTTACAAAGGGAAAGTTTATCTAAGTTCTTAGTGATTTGAGGTTATGGAGTATCGCTTAATGTCTTTTTATAATAAACCCATGATTATTACTGCTAACTGTGAAATACCATTGGTTGTGGTTCTCTCTTTCTTAATACCTGGGATGTGGCTGCTTTAAGTAATTTTTTCAGCTTAGCATGATAACTCTGTGATGCCTCCATCGACTGCTCCAGTTGGCTTAAGATTATTGGTGTTTCATATATTGTATTGTCCTAAATTTATTTTTTAAAAAAGACTTTTTGTCTTTCGGCCTATTCAAGTTTGTGTGTGGTGAGTATTCTTTTGCAGGATAATTTTAGATGTGCCTGATTATTCATACAAGTTCATATGTTTGATATTGTCTTTTATACTTATTAAAATAGTTATATATTTTATTGAAAAAGATTAATTTAAGCATAATCATTTCCTCTATTAGACTTTTTCTCTGTTAAAACTTAGTAGAAGTTCAATTAGAAACTGTTAAATAATAAATTATAATTTAACAATTTAATAAAAAGTGTTAAATTAAATGAAAAGTTTATTTAAAAACTTAAAAGAAGTTGAACTGTGCGAGTTTTCTCATTGGTGCAGTTCATTTATTTCCCTCTCTCTCTTTTTTTTTAAAATGTATGAACCTTCATTAAGGGCGTCCATTGAGTTTGATTGCCAAAATTGTGAAATTGTCATCTATAAAACAAACAAAAAATCAAGTGGGGATAGAAATCTTGTGTTTTTGAGGTAACTTTTTAAAAGAACTATACTTCCAATAAACTAAAGCTGAGGATTTCTTCTTGCAATGTCATTCTCTTCAGTCCAGACCTTGTCAAATTCCTTGCCTAAATTTTCACTTAGAGATAGAGTGTGCTGTTGCTTCTGAAATCTAAATTTATCTTTTTAGGAGGACTTTGCTCACTTTTATTTTCTATAACTCTCTTAAATAAGCAAGAAGGGTTAATAGTTTATAGCTTTTATTATCATCATAAAGCTGTTAGAAATTCAGAATTAGAATGTCTGCTTGCTATTTTCCAGGCTTTCAATTCAGATCTTCATCTTAGCGAATATTATTGGTTTACTGGGTATGTGTACTGCTGTATTTCTTTTTAGTATAATATCTGGGATAATTCATAAAAATAATTCCTTACAACTTTTATTTATTTCATCAAGACTGAGTGGACCCTATTCCAGGTCTAATGTCATCTTAATAAATCCTTCAGAGTCTCTGGAGTCGATTTCCTCATCATCGTTCTTAGTCAGTGATGTTAATCAACCACAACACAATGGCAGTCCCACTTATTTAATAATATTTTAAAATTGTGTAATGTATACTCTTATTCCTACCTTTATTTAGAATTTTCCATACATATTTTATTTTAAATAATTACTATTTCTTTTAGCTGGCATCAGACATTTTCTAATTTCTACAGTTGGGTTATAACATTAGATTGAGTTTGAAGAAATTTGGATTAGCTACAGAGGATTCGTTTGAATTAAATATTCTTTTAAACTGGAAAATCAAATTGCTGATCCTCACCTATTTCCATGGCCAAAGCTCACTGCTTTTAACTTGAGCTTTATTTCAGTTTGAAGGAGAAAATTTTAATTATTATTACCAGCTTGTAATTATTAACTAATAAAACTTTTTAATTATTGTCTGTGTTACATTTCTTGCATTTCTGATTTAACAATTATCTTGTATATATTTTTAATTACTTAATGTTTTTTATTCATTCAATGTAATAGGTCTTTTGGCTAAAAATGATATTTCTTTTTCTTTTCACTTTTGTTATTCTTAAAGGTCTTGATTTCAGAATGAAGTTGTTTTTTTATTCTGTTCTGTTCCTCCCTATTAATCAACTTCCCGTACAATTCGTTCTATGGTCAAAATTATCTTAAACATTCGTATTTAAAATGAAGGAACAAAAGCAAACAGATCGTTATCACATTTATACAAACTAGAACTATATAATTGATCACCATAATTTTATGGCTTTTTTAATTTTTTTTGCATGAGCTAAGCATAAAATTTATTTGTTTGGTTGTGATAATATAAGTTATCAAGTAAAAACCTATGATTTTATCACTTATATGCATTCATTAATGTTATACCCTATATTATATTTCATAAAACACTAAGGTTTTTTTTTTTCAATCCAAATCACATCCTTGCACAATCATTGACCTGGAAACAGTACTGAACCCAAGACCCTTCATGGGTTGTAGTGGTATAGGTTTTTTTATGAACAAAATACTAACAGCCTTCCCTTCTCGCCCATTCTATTCCTGTTCCCCCACTCTTCTTCCGTTCACCCATCAATTTATGTTCACATTTTGTATGTTTATGTATCCTCATATATTTTATTGAAGCTATTTTATGTTTATAACACATTTACCAGTACTATTAATGGAAAATCGTCTAATATTTCTTGAAAGATACCAGGCCAACTACTCAGTTGCTGAGTGGTCAGCCATATGACAGTACAATTGAATAATGTATATTTTTAATTTATTCTGTAAATTAAGTGTTACTACTGTTTTTTTATGTGTTATTTATAGATTAGGTTTTTGGTGCATGATATATATCAGACATGGGCACTAATCATTGATTTTAATTTGAAGAGGTTTTCAAATAATTCTTTAAAACATTTTTTGTTATTTAATTTTTTTTTCTGAAAAAGCGTATTTAAAATCTATTATTACATTTTGGGGGTTTTAAATCTCTACTGTACAGAAGGAGCAGTGGATAAAGATAAAGTTTTTTTACCATTAGTCCTAGTTTGATTAAAATTGTTGGATTTAGACCTTAAGTACTTTTAGATGGCTAACCGAATTTTGTTGGCATAGCAATAACCATTAGAAAGTAGTTTTTAGCCCATGCCTGATTTATATTATCATTCTTGGATATTGATTTAACCATTACTTTTGTTAAATTGTAATTGAAAATAAGATAATCTTTTATGATTGATATTTATTTTCATTCTAGTTTGTTTCTAATCAAATTACTAAAATTATATTTTAAAAAAATATGGGATGAACTTATAATAAAAAATGTGGTGATGAGATTATTAATTAAACCTAACAGATTATTTGCAATTTGTATTATTATGCTTCTGATAATTATACGTGAATTTTCATTATCATGTAAAAGTAATAATATTTTACCCCTAGCTACAACACAAACCCCTACACTAAAATAAACCCCCACGAAAACTCCATAAAAATTAACCCCCAGCTTAAAATCAACACATCCACCACACCATCGATAGAACGAAACAACAATAATAGAATCAACGCCAAAATCCATCTACCTACGAACCCATAACTACGCCGGCTTCTCAAATTACAACCGATAACCTCCCCACTAACCCTCCCACTCAAACTTAACGGCCTCACATCCATCACCATTCCCACATTACCACTGATACCCTACCACAAAAACAACCCATAATTCAGATGCAAAACACCGAAAAACACCCACCCCCTAATACCCCCTACCCCCGCACCCATCATCAACAAAATCCCCCAACCAAACCCACTCCCTGCAATCCAACAAAGCTAGCACACTCCTCACACCAAAATTAAACATAATAAAGTATACGAGTACAAGAAAACAAAACCCAACCATAAATGTCCGCGCCCCTAAACTATACCTATATCACAAAGTATAGAAAGACTACAAAATTACTTACTACTGCGAAACCACAATTAACAAACATTACCAACGCGCAGATCACGAAGAAGTAAACCTCAAACAACCGTAACTCCCAATCCTATTCACCACAGCTCCCATAGCAACAAACTTTGTTTCCGAAAAAAATAAAAATATAACTGTGGCCCCCGCCACGCTACCCACATTAATCTGGCTAAGAACCTATAGCCCATTTCTCTTCTTCACGATCCCCATTCACTTCTCCAAACACCCCGATCTTACCTCCGATACCAACCCCAAACTCACCCCTCCCCCTCGCCCTTTTCCCAACATCATACTTCCATATCACTGCTCCCTTAACCTGAAACTGACTTAACTAAATAGACACGCCAAGTTTTTACCACAATTCACCGATCGCCACTATTCGCTCACTGAATGCTCGTAAACCGAAATCATTTAACTTTAACCATACCAATTTCAATCTCTCCCCTAACACCACTCATACTCTCCTCGATGCTCCAACATTCACAATCACACTATGACCGCCCCCGTTCCCCCATCCACATCCCTGATACTTCCCCCTCCTAATCTTACTATAAGTGCAACTACTCAACTCAAAACAAACTCTTCCAATTATCCTTATATTACTATTAACTTCCCACCCAAACTTCGACCTGCATTCATATAACCAACCTCATGACACCCAATAAACAATAATACGCTCACCTCCGAGCTCCGTACCCTTTCCTATTCCCAAAACCTCCACCATCCCACCTCAACCCTCTTACAACCGATCGCCAACTACACAAATCACAATAACCATGACTCCCTAACATAAGCCATATGTTATGACCTAATTTGTTGGATTACCTACCCCGACGAATCTTAATCCATCAATCCGCCCCTCCGCGCGCCCCCGCCCTTAAATCGACAAATCTGCTTGATTGCATGTTAACATCAAGTGCCAATGACCTCGACACCCTAGAAAACTAGGGCCGTCCCTGTTGCCTACCATGGCCCCCAATGTGCATTCCAGCGACATTAACCCCCCCCCCCCCCCCCCAACCAACGACCTACCCCCAGCATCACACCATCTACCCCCCATGCCCCTGCCCCCCATTGATCAAAGGAAGGATATCCAGTTCCAAAAAACCCAATCTTCATCCCCCCCCCCTGCATCAATTTTTTAGTTACCAATCACACCCCCCTACTATTGCTGGGGCCCCTCAAACTCTTGGATTTGTTTCTTCACAGATAAGTTCTCATGCTTTGGTCTACCTAGTTTTCATCCTCTTCAAGTGGTTATTTGACATAGTTTTCTCTTCATCTGTATTTCAAACATATTTGAATCACTTAAGTTTCTTCATTGTTGTCTTTAACCAAAAAACTTCAAGCTATCAATCCAATTTGCACAAATAGTTTGAACCTGCCTCTTGCTTCACTTAGACTACATCATCCTTCATGTTATCCGTCTGTGGAAGAACAACAGTTCAAGAGAATGGCCCAAGATTACAAAGATTGGGAATCAGGATCAGAGTTTTTCACATCAAAACTAAATTATTGATATCTTCAAATTATTTCTCGAAAAACTGTGGGTGGTGAAAACAGAAGGAAATAAAAATATCTGTTCAGGTAATATCAAAAATAGTTTTTTCATATGTTGTTGGTTAAAAGAAAAAAATGTTTGAAACAACCTGATATATGAATGTTGGAAGTGTAAAATTCATTCTCTTAACTCTTAACACTTGGGATTGGTTTTTATAAAAAAAATTACAAGACAATGAATAAAATTTATTTATACTAAATTAATCAAGGGGACAACAATTTTTTTTTTTTTTGGGGGGGGGGCTTTTGCCATGTTAATGGTTTAATGAAAATAAATGTAGCCCCTTGGCTTAATTTTGCTCTTCTCTAAGTAAGTCCCTACTCAAGGTCATATCTAGTACTTTATTTGGATTCAACATTCTTATGTTCTCTAAATAGAACAGGGGAAGAGATTTGTTCTGGGGGTCCATCACAAAATAAATATCAATTCGCTGAGGCCGGATTCGAACCGGTACAACTTCAGCTCTAGGTTGCCAAGGTCACCTTAACACTTTTAGCCACCATGATCTCAAATGTCTACTAATGATGATATTAATTTAATATAAATAGAAGCAAATATTTCTTTATGAAGCTATAATCTTTATAATATTAATAACATATTATAATGAAGCTGTTAGTATGGGAAGAGATGGTCCACCTACCTGGACCAACTTTTTTCTCATTCTATTTACGGTCATTTTATAAATATTCAAGAAGTTATTGATAATATATACCTATTGTTTTGGGAAACTGCAAAACTCATAATTCTGCAAAAGAAAGGAGATAAGAGAGATTTAAATAATTATCGCCCATTAAGCCTACTCTCAGTTTTATATAAAATATTTTCTAAACTCCTACTTAGAAGAATAGAGGACAAATTGGATATAGAACTAGAAAAACATCAAGTAGGGTTTAGGAAGAATTACTCTACGGTAGACCACATATTTGTGATTAAAGAGTTAATTAAGAAAGCTAATGACTATAATCTGTCAGTGAGCCTCCTTTTTCTGGATTACGAAAAAGCATTTGACTCTCTAAAAACCGATTGTATTATAAATATGTTGAAAAAGAGAAACATTAGTTCAAGAATATGCAAAATACTGGAAGATATGTATTCGAGATCCAGTGCAGAATATGGATCAGGAAGTAAAACAGTAAAAATAAAAATTTGTAAAGGTTACGACAAGGTGATATCCTTTCTTCTAAAATATTTATATCAGTTCTCCATGATTTGATACAAACTATGAATTGGCAGAACAAAGGAATGAAAATTTTTGGAGAGTGACTGAACTAATTAGAGTTTGCAGATGATCAAGTCCTAATAGGTAAAAATAAAGAAGAAATCCTAATGATGGCAAAACAATTAATAAAGGCTGGAAAAAACATAGGGTTCAAAATAAATTATAAAAATGCAAGTATATATCACTGAATGTTGAGGGGGATATAAAACTAGGCGAAC